GTTGTGATGTCCGTAATGCTATTATAGATGTATGCTATTTGCTTTTGGATACAGAGGGGAAGGACTTTGGAGTGTATTTATAAACAATTCACAGAGCCATTCGCACTGTGAATCTCTATGAATGTTCGTTCTGTGCGAACATTCTTAGTATATTATCTTTTCAGGTTGAATGTAATGTAATACCATATTATGGCCACTAGATGTTGCTGAGGAGCATAGGAAATAGATACTTATTTCTTATTCTCCTCTGCTCCATCGAGTGGCCATAATGTGGTATTACATTACATTGCATTTGCCCTAAAAAGAAAATATACGAAGAATATTTGTTTTTGCCTCTATTCACACAAAATTTAAATTTACAGGTTTTTGCAGTGCAAATTACTGTGTGATTGTTTATAAATACATCCCATGTATTAATTATTATAGTGTTGAGAACAGTCTCTCTCAATTCCCTTCCTGCTGACCATTTTTACTTGCTGTCACTGGGACAAGAAGTGAAAGGATATCTACCCAGCAGGCACTCAATAATTGCAATATAAATTTGGCATAGTTTCCAACTCTCTGCCACCCAGAAAAAAAATGTTTATCTCACTAACAGGTACGCATACAGCAAAGAAAATGCTGTTAGGCCTAATGTTTCCCACTCTATCCATATCTAAAATATGCAGAATATACCAGCACTATATAACTGAGTAAAAGAAATCATGAAGAGATGAAGCTGCAGTCATATTAATGTGGCCCATCACAACACATCAAATGTTCAAGCCATTAGGCAGATTATACTACTTGAACATTACGGACAGTGAAGCACGCGTATAGCAGGCATGGTTCCTGAGTGCATAGTTTTTACACTTTGGGGTTGATTGACTAAAGGCAAATAGGCTGTTTATTTTGCAAACAACTTTTCCTTTTGCTTAGTGAATGAAATGAAGCTCTGCTGACCGGCCAATCATGTGCAAGCAAACATACAGTTTTTAAATTTGTCTTGCACATACAGTAGTTGGGTATTCTTGGCAAAATGAATTTTCACCAGATTCACTAAGCTAAGGGGAAATCCCCTTGTGAACAGCCTATTTGTCTTTAGTCAAATCAACTTCTTTGGCTTACTTAGCCTTACCAGAGGCTGCTTGCAGTATCCTGCAGAGTTACTAATATCATAGGACTGCTCAAAGGTCTGCTGTGTATAATAACTTACCTTTCTTCAGTACTGTTCCCATGCATGCCACTAATAATGTTATTTTTCCTTTGTTACAGGGGAAAAACCAACAGACTTAAGAAAAACTTAAACAACTGAATTATCTTTTTTTTTTTTTTTAAATAAATTTGCTAATGCATCTTGTATTTGTATACCAATGTCTAAAATCACATCTTAATTAGCTATAGTAAATGCATTCTTTGTATCTCTACTGATGGTAGTAAGAAAAAAGGGACAATACAACTGATCCATAAGACCACATAGGGAGAATTAGCAGAGCTGGATGGAGCCAGAGAGGAAGAGACAGCCTGTTAAAAAAAAAAAAAAAAATCAGAATGGGGATTAGTATTGGAGTAAAGCACTGGAACACCATGAGCTGGGAGAGTTTTATGTTTAGCTGTGAGATCTATGAGTGAATCATTTTGGACATGAGGGTCAAATAATCATGGAGAAAATGAGCATGATTGGCTAGAGTGGTGGAGTACTTGTACGGGCTCCAGGCAGGTTTCATTGGATAATGCATAAAGGTTTCCATATAGAGGCATTTCTTCTTATTATTATTATTATTATTATTATTCAGTATTTATACAGCGCCAACAGTTTGCGCAGCACTTTACAAAACTGAGAGACAATACAATTTTAGTACAGGAGGTAAGCGGGCCCTGCTTGTGTGAGAGCTTACAATCTAGTAGATATGTTTTTCTTTTGACACGCCTTTGTGAAGCATTCCTGAAGGACGTGGAATAGTTTTTTGAATTGGATCAGCAGTCTACTCTTTTACAATTACATGTGCATTGGTGACATGTGCATTGGTGACATATCTAAACAATGCTTCCAGGAAAGGGGGTATGCATACATAATTACAAACATACATATCCACATTGGTACTTCTCTCAAGTGCCCTCAGGCACGGTGCAGACCTGAGCGATCCGAGATGCGCATCCCGGGATCGCGTGGTCGTGCACAATTGCAGACAGCGATTGCCGCGCTGCCCCACTGAATTCAATGGGGTACATCCGTGTGTCAATCACAGAAAAACAGGTACCCTCTTTTTGAGATACACGTGCTTGTTTTATCGTGTTTGGATGCACAGGCGGAATCGCAGCGGGACACCACCCGATCCGCCCGGCGCGACTGGGGGTGCCATTAGAAAATAGTGGCACTCACAGCGCAATCATCTGTGATGGGCAACTCTTGTGCACGGTTGCTGCGTGGTCACAGATCGCCCAGGTGTGCACCGGCCCTCAGTCCTTATGCAAGCAGTGGTCTGGCTCTTAGGAGGAGATATAACAAATATCAAAATGCCTTGATGGGTGGATGTAATTTGGGAGGAGTGAGCGATCCTAGGCAGGCAATTTGTGCTAGGTAACTCCCACATGTGAAAATCAGTCCCATGTTCAGTAACTTTGCAAACTGTCGCTCTTGGCTGTCCAGGAATACAGATGCACGGGACTGTATAGCTGTCGCAGAAACTTTTTTCTGATTTACATCTAATTGCGTTGCTTATTTGCTTAATAAATGCCCCCCAATGAAATTCTGCAATGGTAAAATTGTTACCGCCACTATTATGGCATTACACAGGAAGTTTATTTGATGGCATTTTTATTCTCTTCTTACGAAACATAAATAACATTAAAACAATATATATCAAAGAATGGCATAAAACCCTATCTTTAAAAACAATGTAAGCCCTACAGATATAGGTCTCCAATGTTTCTATTTAGTTAATCTCCGTCAGTAAATCAGCTCTACAGCATAACAATAGCCTTATTCATGTTAACATTTCTTAAAGCAGCCAATAAAATTCTCCTTTGTTATCTTGCCTGATCCATACTGAACAATGAATGGACAAAGCTGATAGTTTTTTTTACAACAGCTAATAACAATATATCAAACAAAAAGTATGTCTAAATGCTGAAAACAAATATAATCAACCTCCAATAAATTATTTCAATCCAAAGTGATTTTTCACTTTAACTGCCTCCGGGCCGGCCGTAGTAAAAAAACGGCCGGCCAGGAGCTCTCTAGATCTGAGCGGGCGTCTCTAGACGTCCGCTCAGACACGCCCCCTTGGTAGTTTTGTTATCCCATGCCAGCCAATGAAGATGGCTGAAGATCTCATTCTCTAAAACAGACCTGGTGAAGATGTTGGCACTGTCAACGAAGGGATGGGCGGTGGGCATAGTCAGCTGTAAAAACTGAGCGCATTATTGGCATCATGGCCTGTTTGCACCAGCAGCTGATGTGCTTTCTCTAGACTGTGGTGATGATGCACTGGAAACCGGACATTGTACTGTAACCTTTATTTTGTTAGAACTCTATTGAAATATCACAGAGTGACATTTCATTAGGTTCTATTGGCTTCAACACAGTACAATGCAATGGACTGCACTACACCATGCTTACATTTATTTATTACAGGTATTTATATAGCGCTGACAATTTACGCTTTACATAGTTGCACATTCACATCAGTCCCTACCCTCAAGGAGCTTACAATCTAATGTCCCTATATCACATGCATACATATGAGGGCCAACTTAGAGACATGTCTTTGGAGTGTGGGAGGAAACCCCCGCAAGCACAGGCAAACTCCTTGCACATAGTGACCTGGCTGGGATTTGAACCAGAAATCCCCAGTGCTGCAAGGTAGAAGCGCTAACCACTACGCCACTGTGCTGCCCCACACTCCAAAAAGTATGGCACCAGGTCCCTAAGCTGTTTCACCATCTGAGGTGGACACGGGGGGGATGCATGCTTATTAGGTTTGGTGACCTTTACATCATCTGCCTCTGGCCGGCATCCCGTCCAGCTTATTGATGCCACTGGTTGTCAGGAGATGAGCGGGATGCGGGGCTGAGTGTCCCAGGTCAATAAGAGCAGGGCGAGGAGATGGGCATGGCCCTTACACATCTCCCCACCCGGCTCTTAGCAAGCTTGGACGATCTGACAGAAAGGAGGCAGCAGGTGGAGACCGTGCCACTCTGCCTGCCGCCCCCCCATGTGACCCAAAGAGATGCCGCCTGAGGCAACAGCTTTAAGCTGCCTTATTATAGGGACAGCCGTGTACAGCACACAGTACTTGCTTTTAAATGGACACCACCAAAACACAACACCACACTGTAAACAAGGTAAATTGCCTTCTGGATGGGATCGCTCAGGGCAACTTGTGTGAAGGTCCCTAAAAGGTATTTTTCTGTATTTCTAGGTACTGTAAAGGGATAAAACATGCGATAATGTGTTCAGACATGTACTCCATATGTATTTTTACTCGGCCTCGACATATTTTTTACAATTGACTGAAACATATTCTCTTTGAGCAGGAAGATGAAAATGTAATCAGAGCTCCCTCTAGTGGCTGGACAATATATCACTCAGTATATTGCAATGGGGTGGTGTTCATTAGAACAGCGAGCATGTAACGATATAAAAATATCGCTGTGTAGAACATGAGGTAGCGGACTTATCAGTGTGAATACTAAGCGGGGCGTGCTCCATCCTGTTCTGTTATATGAGCTACAAATGTGACACAATTTCGCACACAGCGCCGGGTTTTTTTGTCGGCGTATGATCCTTTCCCTTTAAGCCGCATTAGCGGAGCGCTGTGATTGGCAGAGCCGGTATCCTAGCAACCGTAGTGCGGCGTCTGCGGCCTGTATAGCAGAGAGGAGATCCTGTGTGTTCGGGGTAAGAGGTTCCGGTGGTGTCTGCCTGCTGACCGTCCACATCTCTGCCTGGATCGTCCAGGGATATACATCGATCTGTCATATATCCCCACCATTCCTCATCCCAGCTATATTCCTGTGGCCCGATCATCCTCCGGCCATGTCTCTCCGCACCCTTCCCCTGCTCTTCATCAACCTCGGGGGAGAGATGCTGTACATCCTAGATCAACGCCTAAGAGCCCAGAATATCCCTCCTGACAAAGCCAAGAAAGGTGAGTGGCAGCTAATATGGCTGCTCTTCTTCATCAGGGAAGGTGGGTGCCATGGCCTTCCAGAAAGGGGCCCCTAAGTGATGGACACATAGGACCCAGAAATTCATGTTATGAGTATGGGGGGCTTAAGGGTGTGCACAGTGCTTTTCAGCGTAGGGATAGTGAACATGACAACATGTAAACATGTATGTGTTATACAGAGATCTCTTCTTTTTTTTCTTAAAGCCCACTACAAGGCATCCCTTTAGCCTAGTTCACAGCATCCCTTTAGCCTAGTTCACTAGCACAAAGCAGTCAGGGACAGGGAGTCAGGGACAGGGTTGCAAATGCCTAGAATAACTGATGCATAGATATTACCTACTTGAAGGCAGCCTGATTTGTGGCTTATCATGTTGCTCATTTGATTGCTACATGTCCCCTACAGTGTGTCTCTTCTGCAAAGTGTGGCAGTGTGTGGCAATGCCACTACCCTGTTTCCCCGAAAATAAGAACTACCCCGAAAATAAGACCTAGTTGGGACCATTCCCAGGGCTGGTGGTGGCATAAGGGGGAACTTGAATAGCTCAGGAGAGAATCAGCGGTGCCAACGAAGCCAGCGCTAGAGGAAGCGAGGCGGTACTGGAGGGAGCAGAGCCGCATAAGCCGATGCTTCCTCTATAGCGCCGGCTCCTGTCACAGGCGGAGTGATTCCAAATGCACTCTGCCTGTGAAGAATCTATAGTGAAAGTGCGCTTCACTCATTCTGGTTACCAAATTGCTCTTGGAAAGGTATGGCACCCCTGATTGCCCTGATCACCCTATTCTTAACTTTGCCATTTTGGATTATTTAATTTTGGCTTTGCATTAACTTTGGATTGTTATACATTAAAAACAAAAATAAGACCTACCCCGAAAATAAGACCTAGTGTGTTTTTTTGAGCCAAAAAAAATATAAGACAGGGTCTTATTTTCGGGGAAACACGGTATGTAGAGTGGAAAAATGGTCACCCACGACTCTCAGCCAGAGGGGCTAAGCGGCTCCAGGAAAGTACTGTTACTAGGAAAGAGCTGGTTTTACAACTCATTCCGGGTTTTCTGGATTATAGTTGGGATCCTGGAGCCGGGAGATTTCTAAGCGAACTGGGAGGCAAGGAATCTCCATTCCTGGGCCCGGGCTTTAGTGGTGACCAGCACCAAATGATGGTGCACCTGTGCACAGCGCTTATGAGGAGGATGCTGGGTCAGGTTCAAGGCTCTACCTGGGTGACAGGGGAGGTCTCTGCAGGAGTCAGGAGGGCTCCACCCTGGGACCAGTCTGTAGCTGGCGGACTGAGGAGTGTGTCACCTGTGTGGTGAAGAATGTTTGGTAAACATGCAACCTAAAGTCGGGGGACTTTGAAAGTGCTATTTTGCTGAAGAAAGAAAACTGTACTTTGTGTTTGAAACCGCTGCGAGGGTAAACCTGTGTGGACTTTTGAGTTGGATTCAAGTCATAAGCGAGTGGATGCGTCCTTAATGCGCTACCATTGGAAGCTAAATCTCACAAAAGAGAGAAAACTTCCTGCTCGCAAATTTTGTATTATTTTGCTAAAGTTCCATTTTAAGTGAGAGGTCAGTTTGAAGCCTGACTGTTGCTTCTCTCCTAACTGCCTGACCTAATGCCGATAACGCATGGAAGGCTCATTTTACTAGCTGTGACAATTATTTTCAGCAGTGAGAGAGCTACACCCTCCAGAAGGCAGTTAAAGAATGATAAACAGCTACTTGGCTTTGCATTTCATAGTGTTATGGATACAATAAAACAGCTTATGTTATGGCTATGAATGTTGGCAATTGGCAGACCTCGTGTTTTGCTGGACAAAGGAAAGTGGGAAAGAAAGAAAAGTGACTGTGCAGCTGGGTAAGGTGCCCCTGGTTCAAACCCTAACCACGACACTACCTGCATGGAGTTTGCATTTTCATCCAGGTACTCTGGTTTCCCCCACATGTCAAACACATGCTGTAAGGTTACTTTGTTCCTGCCTATTTCTGCTCTATTATGTATGCATATGAGATGGGGACCTTAGAGATTGTAAGCTCCTCGGGGGCAGGGACCGATGTGAATGTGCAGTATGTTAAGCAATGCGTAAATTGTTGGCGCTATCTAAATACCTGTAATGAATAAATAGGTAAAATTAATTTAGTTGTTTTGCCTTGCACAGGTTCATGTTACTTTACCTGACCAAGCAAGAGGACCATGTAAATTATATTCACTTGATGAGCATGTTACCACTGTAATGCCCACTTATTAATGAAAGGGGATGTAGAATGTGTACGTGTATATTTATATATGTACACCGATCAGCCATAACATTATGACCGCCCGCCTAATATTGAGTAGGTCCCCCTCCAGAACAGCCCTGACCCATTGAGGCATGGACTCCACTAGACCTCTAAGGGTATGCTGTGGTATATGGCACCAAGCCGTCAGTAACAGATTCTTTGAGTCCTGTAAGTTGTGAGGTGAGGCCTCTATGGATTGGACTTGTTTTTCCAGCACATCCCACAGATGTTCGATTGGATTAAGATCTGGAGAATTTGGAGGCAAAGTCAACACCTCAAACTTGTTGTGTTCCTCAAACCATTCTCAAACCATTTTTTCTGTGTGGCAAGGTGCATTATCCTGCTGAAAGAGGCCACTGCCATCAGGGAATACCGTTTCCCTGTTGGTCAGCAACAATGTTTAGTTAGGTGGTACGTGTCAAAGTAACATCCACATAAATGGCAGGACCCAAGGTTTGCCAGCAGAACATTGGCCAAAGCATCACACTGCCTCTGCCGGCTTGCCTTCTTCCCATAGTGCATTCTGGTGCCATCTCTTCCCAAGGTAAGTGATGCACATGCACCAGGCCATCCACATGATGTAAAAGAAAAAGTGATTTATCAGACTGGGCCATCTTCTTCCATTGCTCTGTGAACCAGTTCTGATGCCCATTGTAGACACTTTTGGCGGTGGACACGGGTCAGCATGGGCACCCTGACCGGTTTGCAGCTACACAGCCCAATACGCAGCAAACTGCGATGCACTGTGTGTTTAGACACCTGTCTTATTGGACCCAGCATTAATGCTTTCAGCAATTTGAGCTACGGTAGTTTTTCTATTGGATTACACAGGCCAGCCTTTGCTCCCCATGTGCATCAATGAGCCTTGGCCATTGATGCACATGATGACCATGTCGCCAGTTCACTGGTTTTCCTTCCATGGACCACTTTTGGTAGATCTTGACAACTGCAGACCGGGAACATCCCCCAAGAGCTGCAGTTTTGGAGTTGCTCTGACCCAGTCATCTTGCCATAACAATTTGGACCTTTTTAGAGTCGCTCAAATCCTTATGGTTGCCCATTATTTTCTGCTTCCAACACATCAACTTCTGGGACAAAATGGTTAATTGCTGCCTAAAATCCCACCGACTTCCAGGTGCCATTGTAACAAGATAGTCAATGCTTTTCACTTCACCTCTCAGTGGCCATAATGTTATGACTGATCGGTGTATACACTATGTGTGTGTATATAAATTATATATACATTTTATATATATAAAGCCTATATTTTCCATCTCAGTATTTTCATATGGCACTTTCTCTTTTCTGACCTACCCCTGCATAGATGAATGGACAGATCAGGAAAGAAAACGAGGTACGGGGCACTCCTAAAAAAAAATGGCTCCACTTTCATTTATTTACCGTTGACTTGTCGTTTCCACCTATTGCTCAAAGTGCTGTGCTTAGTAAATGCTTAGTGGCCAAGTTTGGTTAGGTTACGTTTTGGTCAGTTCCAGTTCTTCTTGATGACATTATGTTACATGCAAAATTCGAAATGAAATATGCATTGGTAATTGTGCTAAATGAATGAAGCAGGGTTGTCCAGCAGTGAGATTGTTAACAATGAATGCCCCCTATTCCTCAGATCTGATTCAGTAGATACAAAAGCCTTGATCCATCAAGTAGGCTGGACAAATGCCAGGAGCCATGTAGCCAATGCCCCTTAAAAGTTACAGCTGGCACCTAACTTTTGAGGGTTTTCTTCTTCTGGCTCCTTTATTGGACAGACTGGCTCCTGCATTCTGTATTAATTTGTCCACCCCTGACTTGAGGCATCTTAAAGTTTGGGCTTTTTTTTTAGTCATATAAGCATGCCTTTAATGCAATTACAGCTGGATGACTCGGAACCATCGTCTGACAACCAGACTGGGAATATTGAATCTGTTGGTTTCTTTTTGCATAATGTGGTATGAAGAAGTGAGCTCAGGATTTGCTGGTGTATGAGTGCTGCTGGGCAGTTACAGTATTTAGATAGGCAAGTTGCAGACTTTAGTCGGTTTGTCCCAAAATTTGACTTGGCATTGTTGGCAGCTGAATGCAAAAGCAGTGCTTTGCTATTACTTAAAGTGCACCTATACTTAATGAAACAAATGCTGTGAAGATGTGTACTCATGGAGCTAGACAAATGTACTTGGTTCTTCCAGTGCTATACATAGGATGCAGAAGTATAATGTTTTTAGAACTTATTTCTGTGTCTCCATGCTGTTGGACAATTACCATGGCAGAGCAGCAAGAATAGGTTGTGGAGGCATAAGATTGGATGGGCCAGTTGTTATTCAGTATCACATAACATCAATGTAGCTAACATCAAACTACTTTACCTCTTTACAATGGCCATATGCAAACGGAGGGGGGCCTTAATGATATGGTGGTGGGGTTATAGCTGGTATGGGGGGGGCATGATCTTGTTAATATGGGAGACAGGACTTTACATTACCCTTCCAAAACATCCCAAAGCTTTTTAGAATTGAAGGGGGGATTGGGCAGTACTTTCCCATTTCTTTGCAGCATGTTTTCTTAAGCACTACAGGTGCTCTTTAACCAGCTTTTTGTCATCTCTATATAAAAAGCTTTGCACCCCTAATTAGATGGATATGATTGTTTTTTTTCCATTGCTTATAAATGAACGCCATTTGTTTTACAGTTATGAATGATATTATCACGACTATGTTTAACAAGAAGTTTATGGAAGAACTATTTAAGCCACAAGAGCTGTACTCCAAGAAAGCCCTCAGGACAGTATTTGACCGCTTGGCCCATGCTTCCATCATGAGGCTTAACCAGGCCAGTATGGACAAGGTAATTTACTCATCACCTACCCTGAAATGTTTTGGTTTTGTAAAAATGAAAAAATTTGATATGATTACATTTTATGGCCTTCAATGATGACTTCTATAAATCTTGTTCTGATTTAAATCAGAAGTTAAATTTCCCGAACAATCAGGAAGCCGGGCAGCGTGTAATGACTCGCTACCCAGCTTCCTGATACTGGAAGTATTGGGCTAGGCATCGGAGCATTTGGGCGAGTACTTGCCCAAATACTCGGCATCGGAACTGATACTAGTATCGGTGCAACCCCTAGTTGTTAGTGCTCAAGTCTTATTGGAAGGTAGGCTACCTACACTTCCACAGTTTTCATGCTTAAGTTTACCTTATTTTAATGCTTATTTAATACTGTGTGCTGCGGTGTAGTTCTCTTTTATAATAATCTTCTAACGTTTCCATTGCATCTAACGTTAGATTTGTCATGTTCTTTTTTAATGAGTTCAGCTCTATGACCTGATGACTATGGCCTTCAAGTATCAAGTTCTTCTGTGTCCTCGTCCCAAGGATATCTTGTTAGTTACCTATAATCACATGGATGCCATCAAAGACTTTATCCGGGATTCTCCAAGTATTCTGAACCAAGTGGATGAGACTTTCCGGCAGTTGATTGATGTAAGAAGGGGATTTATAGATATAGAGAATATGCAGAAAATGTTTGTGTAAGCTCAGCAATGAAAATATCTAATGTGGGGGGAGTGATAATATATGAAAATGGTGAGTTTGGAAACCTGGACTATTTGTAAGAGAGGGTGACAAGGGGCATACAGATATTTATGAAGTTGTTTCGCTCTGACACTTGTTGGGATCATTGCACTGCTCCATAAAGAAAACCAAGGGCTGTTGTAGCTAAGCTGCTGCTTAGCTTATCTGAAATGGCAGTAAGGCTTGTACTGTAAAGTGCCACCACTTCTGTCAAAGCTTCACTTCCATTTTACAGATGTGTATAGACAGGGCAAAAGGCTTTCTGAGCACACCATACATATGGAAGAAGTGGTATTCCTACCTCCTGTCAGTGAGAGCACTGTTTATACATTACCATAGGTGAAGTGTGGATAAATGAATATGGAATTCAGTAGCCAGTTTGTCTAATCCAGGAGCCAGCAGGATATTTTTAGGAGCCAGCTCCACTGACAACAACTAGAGAAATCGTCAAAAGTTAGGTGTCAGCTGCAGCAGCATTGGCTACCTGGCTCCTGGGTTTGTCCAGCCCTGCCATAGGTAGCACTTTCCTACCACATTCCATAGTCCTTATGTCTTTTTGCCCAGGACCAGCAATTCATTGTATAGAAATATATGTTTTATATTTATTTTTTGAGCATCAAGATAAGAAGTCCTAAGTATTTAATTTGCAGTACTTATAGTTTCTACATTTTTCCCCCTAGATGTATAACTGTTTACCTGCTGGTGAGTTTCAGCTGATCAGGCAAACTTTGCTCATCTTCTTTCAGGATATGCACATAAGGGTAAGGCTTTTTTATGATTTATTTTTTCTGTAGATTTATATTCATATAATGTGACATATTTTTTAGACAAAACCCTAAATATTCCTAAGCTGTTGGATACAGGTTTTTCTAAAGTGCAACTAAACTCCCCTACCATTGCTCCCTTGCTAGTGCTGACATCTTCACTCTTCTTCTGGGTTGGGGATGTTCAACCATCTTAATTGGCTGTGCTGGAATGATGTAACTCTGACACATTCCATTCCAATGGCAGGAATTCATTCCGGTGCCGAGGTGTGCCAAAAATGTATACTGAGCTTGCCTCTTTGGCAAAAATGAGCCTGCCTGCTCGCAATTTTTTTTTCCATTTAAAATGAAACTACACCCTAGTATCCTTTTACAGCCAAGGTAGGTGGCATCCTAGCCTCTATTTGGATTGCAGTTGCCACGGTGCTGCACATATGATTAGCTATGATGCCAGCCATATGTGGGGTTGAGTTTGGTTAAGAGCTGAAATAAACACACTGGCAACCTTGGCGGTTGGCATGCCTTGAAAGTAACTATTTTGGGAGATATTAAATTGGTTGGACTAGTTCCACTTTAGTTTAGTTGTTTTGCTTGGTACCTTTTTTCAAAGAGATTTAGACGTAACAAAGGCAGCATTTCAACCTGCCAGATGTTCTAACAAAAAGAAAGTTTTGGCTTGGGTTCTACTTTAAAAAAAAACATAAGTTTAATATAGAAGATCTATAAATGATACTGAGTTGTGCGTTCGAAAATCATGCTAGAACTGAATGTAATTGTAATATAGCTGTGATTATCTGATACAAACAACTAGTCAGATACAAATTGACGTCTTCTAGTGCCATATGCTATAGGCCAGGGGTGTCAAACTCAATTTATTCGAGGGCTGCATTAACATTATGGTTGCCCTCAAAGGGCCTGTAAGACTATATAAATGTATCTAATCTTCATCACAATTGCCTCTGCATTCGATTATCACTGGTTTTAGTAATAACTTAATACCTAGATCTGAAAGTAGAAGTCTAGGAAATGGCCTGGTGGGCCGGATTCGGCCTCTGGGCCTTGAGTTTGACTCATGTCTTTCTGCCTAGTAATCTTGTTGGAGCATGTTGAAGGCTGCATTCACACCTAGGCGTTAGGATAGCCAGATGATTTCTAGGCTTATTTTCGGCACATTTGTACGATTCTTTTAACATGTGCAACTTGTAGTACAGGGGCAGAATTGTGTATTAATGGCCCCATAGACCTTTAAATAGAAACACATTACAAGTGTAAATATGCCTTTTACACATGTTTGTTTATGTGCTTCCGTAGAAGTCTAAGGGACCAATAATGCCCAATTCTGCCTCAAACGAAGCTTATGTCATTTTCGAGCTTCCATCGCCAGACGACACAATGCTCAGATGTGAACAGACATCATTTAAATAATGGAATTCTTCATGCTGAGAATTTAACCACTTCAGCAAACGCACTTCAAAACACCCAGATGTGAGTTGGGTGGACGGTGTAAAACACCCTCCTTTCCCGTTTGAAATGGCTAATAGTGTCAAAGAAGTTGTGCTGTACAACAAAGCCCATCTAGCAGTATAAATATCTCAATTTTTGTTGTTGTTGAAAGCCATCTGACAACATGCAGACAAACAATTACCTTGTGTGTTGCGGGGGGGGGGGCAAGAAATCCCCCTTCATCCAGATAGAGAATTGGGAATACTCTCAGGACCCTGTAGATCAGGGGTGCCCACAATTTTTTGTATTGAGATCTACTTTTCAAATGAGGCGCCCAACGAGATCTACCAACGATCTACCTCCCTCCTGCATTCTGAAGTCAATGGCACCCCAGCCATGCCCCCCTCCCCGCCCGCAGTGCGTTCGCCTGTACCAAATTCCTGCGTTCTGGTCCAGTGCGATCGGAAAAAATGCTGCATGCGCTATTTTTTCCAATCGCATTGGACTGGAATGCAGGCATTGTTGTTTCAGCGTTTTGGTGACTTGAATTCACCGCCACGGCCCCTCCCAGCCCAGAACGCAGGGCGTTTACCATGTGATACAGTGCATTCCAGCCGCTAACGACGCTGGAACACACTGTACTGTAACTTGTGTAAACAAACCCTAAACACCGTCCTAAAACATTGCATTCTTTGATTAAGGCATTATCTGCGTTCAGGTGCGGGAGGGGTCGTGGCAGTGCATTGAAGTTAATGTCACCATAGCCATGCCCCCCACCTATATTGCAATAACCTTCACCTGAACGCGTGGCACATTAGTGCATGCGTTCCGGTTCAGTGCAATTTGCAAAATTAGTGCTTGCAGCATTTTTGCAGATCGCACTAGACTGGAACACATGCACTAATGTGCCACGCGTTCGGGTGATAGCCCCTGAACGCAGGCAACCGACTGGAGTGCAATACAGTGCGTTCCAGAGCCTGACCGCTCTGGAACGCACTGTTTGTGGTGTGAACCAGCCCTAAAGCCTAATTCACACCATCCTCAGTGCGTTCTGGCGCTATTGTGGACGGAACGCACTGGATCCCATTGCGGCTGGCTCAGTTTGTTGTGGGGTGGGGGTGTGGCGGTGCGTTGAAGTGAATGACATCGCAGCCACGCCCTTCGTCGGCAATGCGATCGGCCACACGGGAACGCAAGGCACATCAGTGCCTGCGATACGGTCCAGTCAGAAAAAATGCTACAAGCACTATTTGTTTCTGACCGGACCGCAGGCATTAATGTGCCTTTCGTTTCCATGCAGCAAATCGCATTGCGGCCGGAGGGCGTGGCTGCGGTGCCATTCACTATAACACATCACCACACCCCCTCCCACCCCACAACAAACTGAGCCGGCCGCAATGCGATCCGGTGCATTCCGGCCACAATAGCGCCGGAACACACTGAGGATGGTGTGAAGGATGCCTTACAAGTCTTAACTGTGCAGCCCCTTAACTATACTGTCAGATCCCACTCAAGCCAATAGCCTACCTGCTTCTGGCTCTTCAGGTGTGGTCCCAACGTGCTTGATGCTGCAGACTGAAGCGGGTCAGAGGTGTCCAAAGCTACGGGCGGGGAGGGGCCAGTCAAACGTGCACACTGAAGAGAGGGAGGAGCAGCCGATGCCACTACGTGCGGGAGGCAATGATTATTGGACGCTGACGAAGACGGAGGGGCGGGCCGAGTGTGCGGACAAAGTGTCTCAGTGTCTGTGCGGGTAGAGGCGGCCACCTACGCTACGTGCGGTAGGAAAGGTTTATTGGCCGCTTCAGACAGGAGGGGAGAGACGAATGTGTCGCATGCTTTAGCGTCTGACACATTCGGGTACAAGGAGCGTAGGACAGGGAGTCGACCCACGATCTACCAGCGATAGCTTTGCGATCGACTGGTAGATCGCGATCGACCTTATGGGCACCCCTGCTGTACATAGTCCATCAAGAACCCCAGTAATTTACCTTCTTCAATAAATATTTGCAGACTCGAACTTTGGATGAGTGGGACTCTTAATTCTGTTTCTACTTTTTTTTTTTTAACATGTGACCATGAAAATCCTTGTTTTTTGGTTGCTTCCTTCATACTTGCTAAAAAAAAAATTCTGTATCTTCTTTGCTTAATGTGTCACCATGTGTTCTCTAGGTTTCCATTTTCTTAAAAGATAAAGTCCAAAACTCAAATGGGCGTTTTGTGCTGCCAACATCTGGCCCTGTTCCTTGGGGAACTGAAGTACCAGGTCTTATTAGGTGGGTGACAGGTGATATTTTGCTGCCTTTAAATATCATTCATGATTAAAAGGAAGTATTTAAAAAGGATGAGCTCCCAATACCAAGGAAACCGTTTCCATTCTATGCAGATATGTGTGAGTCTATTAAATTGTATGTAAACCCTAAGTCTATTTTTCAGTATGTTTGGTATTACAAATCACTGTACACAGTTTTCTTAAGGAAATAGTTTTTTTTTGTGAATTTGTTGTAAAGTTTATTACCTGGAAATCCAGCCAGTAGTAGCACTCCTATCAGACTGGCAGCCCAACAACAAATGAGGAAGCACACACGGCAGGCTGACAACGCTGCTGCTAATGGCAAGGCAGAGGCTTGGTGTTTTCAGCCTGTCGTGTGTGCTCCTTTATCTGTTGTTGGGCTGCCAATCTGAAAGACCCGGTAGGCAGTCCAATGGCAGAATGCAGGAACACACATGAAAAGCTGACATCTCTGCTGATAATTGCAAGGCTCTTGCAATTATCAGCAGAGATATTGCGCTGTCACTGGCAGGATCTTCAATTAGGAGACTGTAACAATTCACAAAAAAATATTTGCTTGAGAAAACTGTATGGTGCCAAATATACTGAAAAATAGGTTTTGTATTTACATACAAAACAGAGCCTGGGAAGGTGCATTGGAGTATCTTTCATAATAATTGGCACCACCTCACACCAACGTGAGTAACACAGCACAATTGGGTAAATGGGTACTTATGTTGGAAACAAACCTAAGCTTTGCGGTAACGTGTGCAATGTGGTATCATTTATTTTCAGTGGCGCCCCAAAACACCTTAACAACACACATGTGTTACAGTATCCCACAGCACACTATAGTTTGCACTGAATTGCTAAAAATGGTATATCTTCATTTTTATGTCCGTTTAGCCAATTCATTGGAATAGACTGCCTTACGCAACGCATGTTACTGCATGGCATAACATATGTACGTTCATACAGCACATCAGGACTGAAAGGTGTGAATCCAGCTTTACTGATTCATTTAAAACACACTATTTGTGATTTAATCATTTTTTTAATGGGAAAAAATTAAAGAAAAGCATGTTGTTCTGTACAGGTTAGTAAAATGAAAGCTAACATCTGAGCTGATGTAGGTGTTATTCCTTTCCTCCATGTTATATACATTTAACATCTTTGAAACCATCTCAAAATATATGCAATGGCACAAAGGTGGGCTTTTATGCCCGCATATGTGCTCCACTGCTCTGTGCTGGAAGCATGTTCATTGCACGCTCCTAGCAAAGTGACATGGCCACTATTTATGATCGGTAGCTGCGAATGGGCTCCCAATCCTGTCACCGAAGTGACTGGCTGTCACAGCGATAACATGATAGGGAGCACGTCCCTGGCTCCCATTGTTAAAAGGCCGACGGCAAGGGGTTAATTTTTTGAAATAATATATATATGTGTGTATGTATGAACTTGTATGGAGTAATATGATGAGGCTATGAAATGGTATTTCTGTACTGCAGTTAAAGTTACTTGTAATGTTCTCCTTTTAGGATTTTCAGTTATAAAGGAGAAGAGGTGAAGAGAGTGGAATTCCAGAATGGTGGGAATTATGTCAGCCCTCTTCGAGAAGGCTCTTATGATCTTTTTGGCGACAGAGTGCTTAAGCTGGGGACCAATATGTGAGTGTTTTGTCAGAGGTGGGAAAGCAAAGAATCTACCTGTAACACAAAATCTGGCAGTGTTTTCCGTACCTCCCACAGATTATCAAATATATTCTAGTCCATCATGCATCGTGGACCTGCTTTCTGCAGTTCAATTGTACATGTAAAGTCCTTTTATAATACAGCTTGTGTTTAGGCTCACTTTATTTTATAGTGTGTCTGAATCAGGTTTTGCACTCTTAAGTCCTGATCTTGTGGGTGGAGAATATGAAGTCTTTCTGTGTCCAGCTCGTGCTACTCCATCTTATGCCCAAAAATATAAGATTAGTCGTAGGGTGGTGGTAGGTTAGTTGTGATTCTGGGTTGTTCAGTTTTACATCTGAAAAATAATCTGTGTAGTATTATCCTGTCCAGTATAGTGGACGTACAATATGTACTGCAAGCACCCAAATAATATTTACAGCTGTTTTTTTTATTTAATGTATTGCCCAGCATGGTTCAAAATAAAAAAGCACACTTTACTGTCTGCGATACATACCTTCTCTTTAGAGCTGTGCCCTGCAGAGCCCAACTGCCAATTCTCTTCTGGGTTGAATGAAGACCAGTGTCATTCAACCCACTGCCTGTGAACCCAAGTTGTCAATGACACTTCCCCTGAGGGTACATTATTATTCTGGCCTGGGTTGATGGTGATGATACACAGAATGGAGCTCACATGTCAGTATGAACATGGAGTTTAGCTTTAAGAAAGACTAGGGCACAGCTTCTGCTTAAGAGTAAGCACTAACATGAGAGCTCTGTAGTCACTACAAAGCATTTGATGCACTTTTAGTGGTACTTTTCCAGCCTATACAATGCAAAATAAACATTTAAATGTTTGAATATCCATGGACAGAATACTGCAGGAAGACTTATCAAAGGAATGTATCCTAATGTGGACTATGTTAACAGGTACAGTGTAAGCCGTTCCGTGGAGACTCACATGTCTGGGACATTGAAAAGTTCAGCCTCACACACAAAGGTAAGGCCAACTATAAAGCTACTTGTACTACTTTTGTGTTTGGCATCTGGAGACAGAAGACAGGCTGACACCAATGATCTAAGACTGCTCACACACCTAGGATTCATCACATCTAGGATTAATCTGACCATGCAAAGGTATTTTTATATTTAAAAAAAGATCTTTACATACTACACAGTAGAACCAATTCCCTAAAATGTAGTGGAGTTATTCAAACACCATTTGAACAGGTTGAGGTATGGAATCATTATTATTAAAAATGTTTTTATATCATAGTGTCATTTTACACAAGCCAAATGCCATCCCTGCTTTTCTCCATACACACCAACCAGAAAGCTCTCTTGGCAGCCTGATGCTAGTGTTCTTTTTAGGATTAATAACCTGTCAATAATCTTGGGGAACTGAGTTGTACATTCAAAATATATCAAGAACCCATAAAATCTGTAGTTGGGGAAGTTTGCTCCTGACACATAGTTAAAATGAGAAACCCATTCAGATCAGTGGTGGAATGTCTTCATCATTAGATAGCGCAGGTCACAGGCAAAATGAACAGAACCCATCAGAGTGGCTCTACGCCTTGTGATCGCTGTGTTGGCCAATCACAGCAATCACAAATGTAAACACCGCAAGCTCTTCCTCTCACAGCGGTGGAAGGAGCATTTTGTCAATTAAAGATTTCATGAATTAAGGGTAGGCTATAGCAGATTTGATTGACTTATTTGTGGAATCTTTTTTTTAAATCCTTTCTGCATTTTGCAAAAGTATAAAATCAATGTTCCAAAGCAAATTGGTAGAGAACTGGGACCCTCTCCACTGGAGTTCACTATTTACTTGATTCTGGGCCAGAGCAGAAAAGGAATTGTCCTTCATAGTCTCTACACATGATCTGATGTCTCCCCACATTGTTTTCTCATAGACACAAGCAAGAAAGTAAAGCTGGCCATATACTATACGAATTCCAGCCCAGTTCTTGATGAACTATCCCACATTCGCACAGTGGGTACTGCTGTCGGCACCCTTTCGGCCGACATCCCTCGATCAGCTGACTGAAGAGGCCAGCCAGAAACTCTTCGAACAAACGGAGCTGGCAAACAATGAGCTGCTGGCTCTGGGTCCTTTGACAGTGGCCGGCGGCCTCCATGAGAATACAAAGCAAACAGCGTGAGATTCTTTAATCAGTTCTCTTAAGCGTTGATGGAGGAATCTGCCCGCTGGAAACTAAGACAATATTACAGTGTATGGCCAGCTTAAGACGTCTGCATATTACAAATAACTGCTTCTTATTTTGCTTTTAATAGGAGAATGTTGCACCAAATCCTTTGGCTAAAGAGGAGTTAAACATGCTGGCACAGCTAATGGGTGGTATGGAACTGAAGAAGCCCTCCAGCGCTGACAACTCCTTCCGTTTAAACCTATTTACTAATGATGAGGAAGAGGAGTAAGTAGAAGATTATTCTATTTAAAGCTGAACTTCGGGCACAATGAACTTACTTGTGTTATAGCAGTCGAACATCTGATTGCTCCAAAGCCACCTCCCATGATGACGGCTACCTTTTTTAAATCCAGCAAATCTTTTAGTTTACATGCGGGTGGAAGTCCAGCTCCCTTTGTACTTCTGTGCCTGCTTGGATGTAAGTACTGCAGGTCTCAAAAAGCTTCAGATATCTACCCCCTCCCCTCCTGGCAATTTACAAGACCTGCAGCCCAGGCTTCATTTTGTGAATGGCTGGGAGGAGAGGTGGACTACAAGATCTATTAAGACCTAGAGTACTTACATCCTAGTGGGCACAGAGGTACGGCACAGAGGTACGACAGGAGCTGGATTTCCACCTGCATGTAAACAAGACCAATTGTGAGATTTTAAAGGTAGCTGTCATCACAGGAGGTGGCTTTTGAGTAATTGGACTGCTATGACACAAGTAAGTGCATTGTGCTTGGAGTTCAGCTTTAATGTCCTATTATATCAGGGGGAAGAGTTTCGAGACTTCATAACAGCCACGCATATTGTAGAGTAGGTTAAAGTAGAACTGAAGCCAAAACTTTTTTTAGCATTGAATAGACTAAGGCAAGGTTATAACTCAATGTTTTGTTTTTTTTGGTGCCATTTGCATCCCATTGGGGAGATTTCCCTTCAGTTCCTCCGATAGCCACAACAGGAAATAAGAGGAAATCCCTCCAAAGCGAGGCAAATCGCTGGTGGTCAGCAAGGTCATCAGGACTAGTGTCCCCATTGGAAGATTTCCCAACCTATTCCTATTCTGATGACAACCCAAAATATGACATTTTCTTTCACTTTCACCTTAAGATTAGAGAGGGTAAATCTTCATAATGGGGACACAGACGGCAATCCCTAAATCCTTTTAGAGATTTATGCTAGGAAAAAGCAAATGGATTTGTAATTTTTAAAAAATCTAGGGGCAATTAATTAATGCTACATACAAAGTGCAATATATATATATATATATA